TGAAGCTTACTGGGCGTAGGAAAGACACCGTAAGAAAGCCTCTTAGGGTTTTGCTTAATGATAATAAGGTGAAAAATATATTTCAGGAACAACTAGAAAAGCAGTTAGGCGACCATTTAAGCGATTCGCATCCGGAAGCAGGATGGAATGATATCAAAAAGGCTGTGGAAACAGCAGTGATATCTGCTAGTAAGGTTGACCATAAGGCTAGAATGAAACCGTGGATCTCAGTAGCATCCACCGATCTGATGGATGCCCGAAAACTCATCCCACCTGGCTCTGAACATGATGAAGAACGAAGTCAACTTAGGCGCAGACTTATAAAAAGCCTACGTAACGATCGCGAACAGTGGTGGGTGGCGAAAGCAAAAGCGATGGAAAAGGCAGCGGCGATAGGCAACAGTAGACAACTTTTCCGACTTATCAAGGAAACTGGTATTAGGAATCCTAGTGTAAGCGAGACTATCTCAGAATATGACGGGACTATTATTCATTCTCAATCCAGGAGACTGGATCGATGGGCAGAACACTTTAGGGATCAGTTCAACTGGCCTCGAGCCACTCTTCGGTTACCCACGATCTCCAGTCATCCTGAATGGCAGATCGACCTAAGTCCCCCTAGTCTTAATGAAGTTGAAAAAGCTTTAGGAAATCTGAAGCGAGGACGAGCTGCAGGTCCTGATAGATTGACCCCTGAGATATTTAAGGATGGTGGTCCAGTTTTAGCAGCTAGATTGACTGAAATCTTAGGTAGGATCTGGGAACTGGACGTAATCCCATCCGACTGGTCTCAATCACTGATTGTCCCAATCTATAAGAAAGGACAGAAGTCTTCTTGTGACAATCACAGAGGAATAAGTCTAACTAATATAGTATCTAAAATATTGGCCTCAATAATACTTCGACGCTTAAAGAAAGCTCGTGAAGAGCAGACTCGAGAAAACCAATCTGGTTTTCGACCTGGACGTGGTTGTATAGACCACATTTTCACACTCAGACAGGTCCTGGAACACAGACACACATTTAGGCGTCCTACAATAGTTGTTTTCCTGGACCTTAAGGCGGCATTTGACTCAGTGGATCGTGAGGTTCTGTGGCAGTGTCTGTCATTGAAAGGTGTACCAAAGAAGTACATCAACCTCATACAAGCTCTCTACTCAAACACCACTGGTCGAGTGAGAGCTTATGGCGAACTGTCACCGGAATTCTCTACATCAAGTGGTGTCCGTCAGGGATGTCCACTCTCTCCATTCTTGTTTAATTTTATCATAGACATGCTCCTAGAAATAACCTTATTCTCGTCTGAATTTTCTGGAGTAGACCTTTTACCAGGTGGCTCGCTTATTGACTTAGAATATGCCGATGACATAGTCCTACTTGGTGAAGACGCTGACAAAATGCAGAGTCTTCTGACTACCCTAAACAACAATGCGAGCATGTTCGGGATGCGGTTTTCCCCGTAGAAATGCAAAATGTTGCTTCAAGATTGGGTTGCATCGGCACCTGAACTAGTGATAGGGAGTGAAGTGGTCGAACGTGTAGACCGCTTCACTTATCTTGGGAGTCTCATCAGTGCCGATGGCCTGGTGACTGACGAAATCTCGGCACGGATACTGAAGGCTCGATTGGCTTTTGCCAACCTGCGTCACTTATGGCGTAGGCGAGATATCCGTTTGCTGACTAAAGGACGAGTGTACTGCGCAGTGGTTCGCTCCGTCTTACTTTATGGCTGTGAAACACGGCCAATGAGAGTTGAAGATACTCGTCGGTTATTGGTTTTCGATCATAGATGTCTTCGAAGCATTGCTCGTATATCGTGGGACAACCGAGTGAGCAACGCTGTTATTAGGAATCGGGTGCTAGGTAAGAATGGCAGATCAATCGATGAAGTGGTGAAACTTCATCAGTTGAGGTGGTTGGGACACGTGTTGCGTATGCCTAATCACCGACTGCCTCGTCGAGCTTTGTTTTGTAGTGTAGGAATAGGTTGGAAGAAAGCTAGGGGCGGCCAGACCAAAACATGGCAGAAATCCATGAAGTCATTGACTAGTGGACTTAGCCATGTCGGTAATTGTCGACTACCTGGTTGGGGTCCGCGAGATGATAATAATCGATGGCTAGAGACCTTGAATGACATGGCTCAAAATCGTTCGCAATGGCGCCAGTGCATTTATTCTTTGTGTTTTCTCAAATCCTAATCTTCTGAGTTCTACAACACCTCTAGTTTTTACTTTCTAAACTTATCTCATTGAATCATACTTCGTGAATAATATCTTCTAATTCTAACCTTTCTGATTACTTCTAATACCTTTACTACCTCTTCTACTATTGGATTTGAATTGACAATTATATCTCTGTGCTGATGTGGTATGGCGACATGAACTTATGTACTTACGTACGAAGTTCTACGTTGCAACTGACTGACTGACTGACTCTCGAATCATATCTTCGAAGCCTAATTTTCTCCATTACTGATAATACTTCTACTATCTCTACCACTATTGGATTTGAGCTGACAGTTGCGTCTCTGTGCTAATACGGTATTGCAACTTGAACTTATGTACTTAATTACGAAGTTCTACATTGTGACTGACTGACGATTGCCCTTATATTCCCCTAACTTCAATTGTATTCCTTGCGTTTATTTATATACCGAATAAGAGTCGTATAAAAATATTGTGGTGCTGTTCGACTAGCTGTCCAGTTCTCCTTCATTTTCATCTTGGTCACCATGTAGGGCCTCCTCATATATTCCAGTTCGCTTGCATTTAATTTGGTTAAGCCCTTTGGATTAATTTATTTGACCAAGCCGTTTGTATAGCAACAATTTATACGTACCATTCGTTCTTACTATCGTCTGGTTAGTATGGCTCACGTGACTTGTCCCGCTTGTCTTTTTACCTTGTCAACTATTTGTCGCTCTTATTCATGTGTGTACATGTCTATCTCGTTAACACATGTTTGATTTTTGTCTGACTATAAATTCTTAGTTATGCTTTATCTCTTGGAATTGGTTTACTAGCCTTCTCCACATCGCTTCATCCGTTCATTCGCCTATTCACTCGCTTGCCCGCTTTCCGGCGCACGCATAACGATTTTATCTTATAGCGCTTGTAGTCTGCTGGTCTATTTGTGGTGTGTCAAAAATGAACGGATTCAACACTTTGTGTTCACTTTCTGATTTATAAACCGTCAGACGTTAGTTAAAAACGGTTGTCTGGACGAGCTGATCACGAAGATTAAGGACACGTCGAAATCGGCCACCACAACCACGAAGTGATGATCTCAAGCAATGTCAACTCATTTTTTCTCTCCTGCTCTATGGTCTTTATATAGATGTAATTGATGCGGGTGTGATGGATCTGATTTATGTGAATATGTCAATATCGAGTCACTTTGATTGATGGTTACGTTGCAACCTGATCGATAGCATCCTATCAGTACTGGGATTCTCATATGTGGCATTAGTCACTACCCAATGATCGACTAATTTTAAAATCATATCCATTCAACCATGACATTTTGTCGGTTATAAATGAACATTTCTAAGTTACTTATATAAAATGTAAACAGGTTCTATCGGATTACACAATATTGCTGTCGCCATCGGTAGTAGCTTAGAATGAGCGATAAGACGAATTGTCAAGTCCAGTAGAACTGTATATAAGTTCCAGAAGGCTGTACTTACATGTCATCCGTTCATAAGGGATGTGAAATTTTAGAGAACCGGGTGTAATGCGTTATGCACCTTCAGAACAAATTATGTTTGATTCCTTTGGGTTTCTTTAGTGATTATTTGGGTTACTGAAATTATGATCATATTTTTAATTGGAAATTTGATCAGTCTTCCCTAAAAGTTCATATCTAACGGCCACTAATAATGCTCATTTTTAAGAACTGAGTAATTGGGCGTCTAGATGTTACTATTACTGCTATTATTTTTAACCATTATTGTAATTGGTTTAACATCACTAATCCTATTCTGAACATATGATCAATTTTAAATAATCTTCACTAGATATTCGATTTATTAACTGCGTTAATAATTCTTTTATCCTATCTAATCCATATCTTAGATAATAAAATTTCAATTTATGCTTAACTTTAATCAAGTTAAGACTTTATATTAATCATCCTAATAGTAACGATTTATAATACAAAGAATGATGAATTCAAATGTTAAAGTTTAAGACAATGTAGTTTGTTTTAGACCTGGTTACTTTTTGAATAATTTGAAGAACCGGAAATTGTCAACTATGTTGTAGTGTGATTGAGAATTTTACACGATTCATTTATTATTGTTTTTGTGTTAATCATTTTCCAAATTAAATCATACCAATGATATGATATGAACATGAGTTATAATTAACAATTTGTATAATTCGGATATTGTCGTGGATGATAGATCTATACTTAATTCAAAGGCCTAGTTCATTTTCTGATTGTGCTGATAGTTATTTATCAAACGATTTTGATACGTCTGCTGGTTTATTTTCTATTTATTAGACCGATTCGCACTGAGTGTATGTATGTCCCAACTGCTGAAATATCTGTAAATGTATTTCCCTAAAATCTCAATTTATTCTGCAATTATATAAATCGTTGCAGTGAATGTAGCGTTTGGTAATAAACACAAACGCGTAAGCTATAAAAAATAATTTGTGTCTGTCCAGTACTAAGGCTTGACACGGCTTGCCATAAAACCTAAATACGTCAAGCTACCAACGTTTTTCGTTGGGTGGAGCGATGCGATTCCAGCCTACGTATACAGGCCTAGTTAAATTTATGGGCTGACGTCAAGGTCATTAGCCAAACTTACCAACTCCTGAAAATTTGATTGGATAATACCTAAGACGAAAAACAAAAATCTTTGTTAGCCAATCACTAGTTTGTTCAGTCTTCTGCTAAAACGAATGACGTTTGGGATCAGAATTTCTTAATTTTTTAAGCTGTGCATTGAATAAATTATTTTATTTACATACGAGGCAGCGATTAATGCGATGGGATCGACCTTGTGTTTCGTCCGCTACATGTCGTTGGGACTAATAGTCATTTCCCTATGTATTTTACAACAGAAATCAGGTTAGTATTCTATTTTTTTAGTTGCTCTATTTTGGAAATGAAAATAGACGTGGCTTTATTGTGAATACATCAATAAGTTACTCAATTACCTTTGCTTGTTACTAGTGTCTAATAAATCCCAATACTTTCTTAGGTTAAACTATACAACGTTATAACATTTAGATAAAATCCATTCATGATAAAGTACCAGTAATTTTCCGCGAATTCCAAATAATTTTCATGACCTCATGAATCAAATCTCATGAAGACCGATCCCTAACTGTCCCAGTTTATACGAAAGGACAAAAGTCTTCTTGAGACAGTCACAGGGGAATAAGTCTAACTAATATGGTTTCTAAATTTTTAGCCTCAATAATCCTTAGACGCCTAACTAGAGCTGGTCAAGAGCAGACTATAAAAAACCAGGATGGTTTCAGACCCGGACGTGTCTGTATAGACCACGTCTTCACACTACGACAGGTCCTGGATTGCGAAAGCCAATGGAGCGTTCTGCATCCGTCACGAGATTACGTGAGGCAGCAGGACATCAGGACTGATGAGACTCCGAAGACATTTGAGGTAGTGAACAGGCTCGATTACTTGATTTCCTTTCAATAATCCAGGTGTTGATGCAAGCTATTCGTGCAGCAACATTTTGTCTTTGAAGAGAGAGAATCGCATCGGAAACACGCTAGCACTGTTGCTTAAGTTGGTTCGAAGATTGTGAATTTTGTCAGCTTATTGACCATCCAGAGCCTTGTGTTTTTTGTTCCTGTAGATATCATTTCAAGCTGCTGTAAATTAACTTTTTTCGGAGTATCGTAACACTAGACCATCGCTGTTATCTATTCACTGAGCTGATACATTGTTAGATCTGACTAGGTGATTTTGCTTTTGTTTAGTTTGCTTACGCGTGTATTGAAATCACACACCTGTTATTTGGCGTTTATCTTTATAAAGGAAATTTGAAAACTTTCTATAAAATTCATATTTTAGTTTATCCGAGTTGCAGTCAGTGAGAGACAACCGACAAGTGACTCTCTATTGGGGTCCACTCGGAAATCTGATTCAAACACTTGGCTGAAGCATATTGTTTAGAGTATGGTTTCAGGCGACTGGGAATAATATTACTTGGACTGAATCATTAGCAGTAGCATCGCGTGTGGTGGCGATGTACAGGAAGGCTTAGTTGTGGGGCTATTAAGATTTGAGGTGGAGATTTGATAGTGATCTGGACTTCTGTCAGGGTTATGAGGGCAACTCTCTCTTCCCGACTCAGGATACTGTGAAAAGGCATTTCTTATTGAAGAAATTGAAAGGGAAACGGGGTTTGTAGTAATCGTAACCACTGAGCCAAGGGACAACTGCTTGTGGCATGTCACGTACTGTCTTTTGATGGCTTGTTCCTGATGAATTGGTTCTGCACTTATAAAAACCTTACCACTGAAGACGAAAATTTGTGGGTCTATGTATGCTATGGTAGTATCAGGGTTGATCTTTTGTAACCTCTTTCTTCCATTGTAAGAAGGTAATATCGCTGCAGATGCTGGTTGCCTGAAGGAAACACTTCACTACAGTTACATCCCTCTACAGTCAGCAGTATGACTTATCCCTCTGGTCTTATGTTGCTGCTTTTATATTTACCGTTCTCCAATCTACCTGACTAGCATGGTAGAACCTAAAGAAGCATGTGTTCCGGCCAATGTAGTTCGGTCAAGTCATCACAGTGGGTAACCCCAACCACCACATCAAGGCAGCAGGTACTGTCGAAACTTAAGTGACTTTTATATGCACTACGTGTACCAGAAGTAGGTATTTACTAGTGTTATTAAGTGATTTATATAATATATCATTTAAAATTTAATGTCCTCGGAAGTTGAGGATAGTTTAAGACGATATTGTTCCTAGGTCTTTTGTGGGTTATTATATAGATCTGATGTGCCATAAATGTATATTTATCAGGAATCTAAATTCATGGAAATATCTCCGCACAATATGCTGTACTTTGTGACAAGTTCCTTATGTTATGCTGAATTTGGCCGAAACTTATTAGCCGAAAAGCAGTATGTAAGGCGTTTAAATTGAACGTACAGAGAACTAGTTTGCTGTTTTTAACTGTAAATAAGTTTAAGTTTGAAGTATTAACATTAGACTATTCCTATATGACGGTCTTAGTTAATTCTTTTTGGGACAGAATCATTTAGATTCGTAATCGGTTTTATATGAGTGAAGAGACTTAAATATTCATTTTGAAAATGAATAATAGTTCATTAAAATTGTGTTCTTGTTGGTATCGTAATCTTCCCGGTTAAAAAGATGGTAATATTTTCCTTCATTTATCCGACTTTAAGTTTTAAGTCTAATGGGTACATAGTTGTGTAACATCGCATGCGTCATTACAATCTAGATATTTCAGCCACTAACAGTTGTTGTGTTAACAATTGGAGTCACAGTAACCAAGTACTCAACCAAAAACATATCCCTTGTTTCAGTGACATGCGTGACTGGAAAGATATTTTCAACTGAATTACATAATCAAACACTCCTGACTTGAGTACACTTTATAATTCAGTGTGTAGGTTCCTATCTGTTTTTAGTTACTTATCCGTCAAAAGGACAGTTTATGTTTGAAGGTGAATAACTCAGTCTTATTCCATACTCCGTTTAGTATTAAGTATATGAATAGCCTTCACTCTTTAGCTGGTTAGGTATTACTGTTCTCGGTAAGGTCGCTTCTACCACATAACTTTTCACACGGGTCCAATGGATAATCGTTTTAGGAAATTTATTCGATGAAAATTTTGAACATGGGCAATTGAGTTTAAGTAAAAGAGCGTTTGGAAGATTAATTGTCATTAATTCTTAACTTCCGTACATGTGGTATAAACTGTTGTTGTCATGTCAACTCACATATAAAAGTATTAATATGACGGGATTAACTTTGTTTTACGGTTTCATATAACCTATTGGTTTACGATTTGGACGATATTCATTTAAAATTTAACATCGTTTATTATCGATCGCGTGGAATGTTATTACAGTATACTTATTTGAAGTTATGAATTTATGATCCTTAGTAAGAAAATTTAATACAATCCAAAAGGTGATTTGAAGATATATTCTCTTTTTCAGTATTTGGTATCCAATGCGTGGTCTGCAATTCCTATCTTGATGGCCAATTGTGTGAACCATGGGATCAATTTACATTCATAACAAATTGTTCAAAGTATCCTGGAATTGATGCATCCAAACCAATCAGTTGTCGTAAAATCGATCAAGTCGGTAAGTGAAATGCAGTAACGACAGGAAATTAGTGTCACTTTTTAGGCTAGAAGTAGTTGATTTGTGGTGTACAGTAATCGTCCAACTGGCATTAGTTCACAACAAAAACCTTTTGATGTTTAGTATCATATTATTTGATCCTTAAATAAAAGAGGATATGCGATTATATGATACGAACTGCCGTTACTAATTTTTTATGTATGCTTTCTAACCGCTTTATAGGATTTCTTAAATTTACTAGTCTAGGTTATCGTATATTTTTCTAATTCAGTATAGCGCACCTAAAACACAAATTGGTTTCAACGACATTTATCGTAAGCTCATACGAAAGAAACTAAATAACTTTATTTGAGTAAGAAATTCACCAATTATGGTACTTGGTACAGTCTTATCTTGGCTGTTATTACTCGTGATTTTTTAAAGCTGCTTTTGATATTTTTTCAAGAATCGAAGTCCTCTCAACTGAGTATTTGAGTAATCAATGTAATCAACGTCTAATCAGACAGTAAAGAGATTCTTAGTACGTGATCAAAATTTAACTTATTAAGCATATAAATTTGTACTGAAACATCTCATCCAAATATTTGATATACCGTGGTGACTTGCGATTGAATTTTCGGGGTTACTTAAATTGAAATATTGAAAGCTGAGTATATTCTAGCAGTTTTTAGTTATATTGAGTTGCATTATTTATCTGTAATAAGTTAAATATGGTACAAAATTTGCATATGATTGAGTTCCAGAAGCGATATTTTGAACTCTGCATAATTGTAAGTAAATCGAACTGCAGTTCGTTGTGTTATAAGTTTTAAATTATTGTGATAAGGTTGTCTGCTAATCAAGAATTAATTTTATCATGACTTGCCCTAATTCGTAGTCAGTTATCCCCATAACCTTATCTTTATTGTCGTTTCTTTCTTATTTATTTTCTTAGAGAAAACTGAGTTTCTGTATCTGCTGTTTAACTAGCTGAATAGTATTTTGAGTGGCAGTAAGATTATCTGAAAACCAATCACTAATGTTTGTATCTTCATTAGAGCTAGTCTTGTCATTTACAATCAGACTGAGCCATATTGGCAGGTGTATACTACCTGGTTAGGGTCCGCGTCACAATCGTAACCATTGGTTAGAGACATTGAGTTACATAGGTCAAAATCGTTTACAATTATTCAAGTACCTCCATTCATTGTCGACCCTCAATTTCTAAGCTCCTAACTTCCCTACACTCTTTGTCACTAATTTATGTTTCCTTGAACTGTATCTTCGACTCCTAATATTTTCCATTAGCAGTAATACCTTTACTAGGTGTATTACTCTGATATTTGATCCGACAATATCATCTTTATAGCAGCTTGAATCGATGTACATACGTATGTCTTGTATTATGACTGACTGACAGATTTTCTCCTGTTAAACTAATGGGATAATTTTCATACAAAATTGTGATCAAGTTTCATTCGTGTATTTTATCAATTTTAAGAATGTTGTGTTGAAGATAAAATTCTATTCATTGAAATTAAAATTACTCCTGTTTTCACGAAGTTAAAACTGATCAAACACAAACTGTGTTATCAACCTTCTTCAGGGTGTATTGGATTGGTTTACAAATCCGACAGATTGTATAGATATTAATTTAACAAAGTTAGCCTAGGAACGCGAGCGAATTCCCCAAATTTAAGTTCCATAGTAGCGGATGCTACTCACTCGTGTCATATAAGTAGTGTGTAGCGTAACGTTGCCTAGACGTTTCTGCAATAGAGGAGAATGGAGATTGAAACGCTTGACGTGATCAATGTGGTTTCAAGACGAGAAGACATGGAAAAGAAGGCAGTCAATAACTTACTTGTTTTGCAAATGACGAAATTAAATGATTTAGTTGGCGTCATAGGCAAGATTACATCAGTAGTTTTGACTGACCATTTATCACTTCCGTTAGACAGTAGTAGAAAAAGAAAATATACGTAGGGCAACAGTAAACTCCATATTTTACCATAAAGACATTATTTTATGGTTTTACTGATGTTTTAATTTTTAGAGATTTGCTTCCAAGATTTTGTAAAATTCACAGTTCATTCATTCATTGATCTGGAAAGTTGACTGTTTGGTAAACATATGAAGGAAAGATATTCTTTTCGATAAGTTCTCTTCAAGCTCTGCATTCGTATGTGCAAACAAATTATCCAGAAAGTGGTTACGTTTAAGGCAAATTACACTGTTTACAATTGTGGCATATGAATTCAACCTTCTTCCTAATATGAGTAGGTAATGTTAGACTGACTAATATGAACGTCCTGAGAAATTTATTTAATATCCACTACTACTCACTAATTCGTACCTTATTCATGTCATTACATATTATTTGATTCCTGATTCGTAATTACCTTATTATCGATCTTAACCCATGTTAACCATATTTTTTCCGTTCATTAATCTCAATTTCATTTTACTTATAACCTTATTCAAGCTCACATTTTGTATTACTTATCCTAACAGTAACGGTTCGTATTACAAAAACTGGTGAATTCAATGTTAAATTTTTAGATGATTTAGTTTGCCTTACACCTGGTCACTTTCTGGGTAATTTGTAGAACTTGAGGAGACTTCATTGAAAGGAATACTCTTCGTGCACTTGTCTTTGTTGTAAGATAATGCGAATTTTTCAGCGATTAAAAATTTTGGAAAAGGTTTTGGCGAAACAAAATTGGTCAAACTATCAATTAACTTTCTGGTGGTTAAAGAAGTTGATTATCATAGTTCATGAGTTTTATCATGAGTACATTAAATTCCACCTGATGGTTTATATAAAACAGACTAAAAAACAAGTTTATTACAGACTTACTCGTAAATTACTTTAAAGAGACCGAAATTTCTACCATTTTGTAAAAGTCAATATCCAATAACTGATTACATGTTCACATGCTTAGTTATTTTTATAAAAAAAAATAACAGCATGTAGTTACACAGATTGAAATGGATTATGTCTGCTGTTAATTGTATTCAAGTACTTAAATTACATATACAGTGGTTCTTTCTGTATTAACATCACTTTTCAGCCTTTGGATAATGAAGATACTCCGAGAATTACCATTTAATTTTATCATGACTCAGATGAAAATCCGTCATACAGGTTCTAATACTTATGTTCTGTAATGAAACAGAATTTAAACTGATCACTTCTTAGACTGTCAGTGCATCTGTTTTATTTTTTTCCTAAAAAAGAATACGGGATAGACTAGTGACTGATTTCTGAGGAAAGATCTATTTTATTCTTTATTTTTTAGTAAAACTACCTATAAATTAATCATATTTATGTGTAATGTATATGTTTTACATTTAGTGGAACATGAGAGACGTGTAGTACGTCAATGCAGCAATGTTATCGATAATCTGGGTTGTATTGATCGTGTTGGAACAAATGATGTGCGAATTCGTTATTGTCATTGCACAGAAGATCTATGTAATTCAATAGCTCCAGTCAAACCTCAATCATTTAATTATTTATGCTTGTTATCTGTCTTAATTTTTAGCTTCATGAAATTATTAATACACACGTGAAACCTTTGAATCGTGTAGTTTTTGTAAAATTAATGATAATGACATTGGTAGTAATTATTATTATTATTATTATTATTATTATTATTATTATTATTATTACTATTATTACTATAATTTGTGATGTACGATTAGAAAAAAATATTGTAATACCGAAGTTAGTTCATCATCCTGTTTTTGTGTTATCATTTATGTTTTACCACTGCTTTGTTGTCTTGTTTCATTTTCTATCACAATACTTTTGGATTTGTAAACATTATCAGAAAAAATGTAGATGGTGAAATGTACTAGAGTAGGACATTTTTAATGAAAGAAATACTCTTTTCTTAATCTTGCATTTAATAATTTCTGTTTCATTATTATCTTTTTTGCTTATCACATAGAAAATCGTTAAATCAATGGGATGATACTATTTTTTAGCCCATCTGTGATTTGTTTGTTTTCAGTATATTTTGATTGGAAAGTAGCCAGCTCTTTAATTGAATAGTTTGGTATTCTAAGCTATCATGCTTGGTTATTAGTTATTATAATTGCTTTTGATTTTCGTTGATCTCATTTTTATTTCGAAAAAGATAAAATAATCAAAGTTTACTATTAGTAGTGTGATTTATCATGATTTATTTGACTATTTTACTTCCACACTCGTGTATCTCGAAAGTTGGATTCGTCTCACTAATTTATTATTATTATTATTATTATCATTATCATTATTATTACTATCATTATTATTATTATCATGTTTTAACTAGAAGACAGTAATACTTCATTTTAATTGTAAAGTGTGAATTATATAAATTTTAGATAACGAACGAAATATTACTTTTAAATTAAACGGGTATTAACTGTTTGCTTCTTTCTGATCAAGCTTTAAATGATCCTGGTGAGTAGTAACTGAATTGTTACATGGTTATTTGAGTGGCTTTCTGAAACAATATTGTTAAGAAAATTTTCAGTCATCTTTGAAGATTGTTTCGTTAAATAAGTCATCTAAATTATACAACTAAAAATAGTCGAGGAGTAATGGAGTTCAACTGCTAATACACCTAGCCATTGCGTCTATGCAAACTTTAAAAACAAAGATAATTACATTTTCATTTGCTCCTAGTAAAATGCTTGGGCATGATTTCGTTTTAATTTGGATTATTATTTATTGGAACATATAATTACGTGCTAAGATAGGTATTTTACGTATTAATGCTAACTGAATAAAGTAGTTCATTTTAGGCTAAACATATCGTCCTTTGAGTTGCCATATGTTTGTTTATATTCTAGGTAGATCTGTCCAATCACTGATAATATGTGGAGTAAGTGTTAATCAGTAAATTAATCGTCAATCAAAGGAGCATTAACGTGAGAAAATAACAATTTAGATTAACCGGTTTGGGTATATAGATTTACAATAGATGGTAATCAGCGGTTTAACAAGTGATCTGTATTCCGGGGCAAGTACTAATCTAGAAATGCAAATATGTAAAAAGGAGGATAATAACCTAAATGCGCTATAAAACCTGACTTAAATGTGAATGAATTGAATTCATCACATTCCTCAACAGCTCAGATAAAGAGGAAACCAATAAGATAACATGAAAAGGTAGTTAGTTAGGTGCAAAGTAGACTTTGGTATCCATGTACATCATTTCAAGCTGCTATAAAGATGATATTGTCGGATCAAATATCAGAGTAATACACCTAGTAAAGGTATTACTGCTAATGGAAAAGATTAGGAGTCGAAGATACAGTTCAAGGAAACATAAATTAGTGACAAAGAGTGTAGGGAAGTTAGGAGCTTAGAAATTGAGGGTCAACAATGAATGGAGGTACTTGAATCATTGTAAACGATTCTGACCTATGTAACTCAATGTCTCTAACCAATGGTTACGATTGTGACGCGGACCCTAACCAGGTAGTATACGTCCATTAGCATGGTCCATTTCAATTATCATCAATTTCTTGTGGTAATTCGTTCGTCCATGACTTTCACTTCATTCCCACACCAGAAAACACCCGTCGAGGTAGTAGGTGTTTATACATATGTAACACATGTCCCAACAACTGCTGTTGATGAAGATTAACTACCTCATCAATTGATTTGCCATCCTTACTTAGCAGCCTACTCCTAACCCAGGTATTGCTTACTCACTTGTCTCAAAATACAACAACAATCCTTCAAAGACACCTATGGTCGTATACTAGTAACTTTAGGATATCCGTTACTATTAATTTGTACTGGGCATACTTCACACCCGTAAAGTAGGACGGAGAGAACTTCTTGATAATATAATGGTCGTTCGGTTAGCAGACGGATATCTCGCCTACACGACAAGTGACGCACGTTTGCGAAAGCCAATAAAGCGTTCTGCATCCGTCACGAGATTTCGTGAGGCAGTAGGACGTCAGAACTGATGAGACTCCGAAGATATTTGGGGTAGTGGACAGGCTCGATTACTTGATTTCCTTTCAATAATCCAGGTGTTGATGCAAGCTATTCGTGCAGCAACATTTTGTCTTTGAAGAGAGAGAATCGCATCGGAAACACGCTAGCACTGTTGCTTAAGTTGGTTCGAAGATTGTGAATTTTGTCAGCTTATTGACCATACAGAACCATGTGATCTGTGTGCTCGAAGTCAACAGTGAACCTTCCGATATCCGTTTCCTTGATTAATCTGAACGGTTGTCTTATATTAATTATCACCTGCCTTCACAATTACTTTTGCTTTTGCTATACTCCACTATTAACAATCATTGTGTAGGCTTATTTTCAACCTTTGTTTAAGCTGCTTTTGCTCTTCATCGTGTTCATAGGCAGACGGAATAACTTTCTGAGCTTCTTTCAGTTAATTATATTCGACAGAAATTGACTTAATTTTCCTAATTTTTTGATTCGATTTACTGGTGGATATCACTACTATTTCCACATCATTTGTTTCTGTAACATGATAGGCCTCTTGCCTAGTTGACTAAATGGTTTTCTGGTCGTTTCTGAAGTTTATTTTTGGCTTTTTCATCGTTAAGTTTATCTTCGATAGTCTTCCTTGATGTGCTTTCTGTCTGTTTAAGTAGAAAGTTAAACATTTAATTTTTTATTTAATGGGAATCAATATTATCGAGAAGTAGAATTACGGAGTGATTCTTTGGTGAAGATTGACTATAACTGCATCAGTCAGACTGTTTTTCTTGCGGAAGTTACCGATCACTTATTACATCTGTCCCAGCTGGAAAATATCTTGAGTTACGTATATCTACAAGTCAGTATTTTCGTCAGCTGATAGCATACTTTGTTTTTCCTTTTTCTATTTTTTTCTAATTCTAGTCAATGTAGCAATTCACAATGTTCTTTTCCTGAGCATTCGCATATATGTTAAGGTCAACTCATCTGATTAAGGTTTAGAACCTCACTAACTGAACAGCCATTTCTACTTAATACTCTATGTTTAACCTTTGGAGTACTAATGTTTAGTATATTTGCCCTTTGATAGACGGAATAATATCCTGCTTTAGAATATCTGGTATAATTTGGCGAACATCACATTTGTTTGTGCATCAGATTTCTTGGGCTACTAATGTTTCTGAGATACGTAAAGTGGAAAATATGCTATACTCCCTCATTTCATATATTTAGGCTATATGTTGATGTGAATTAGACCTGAAGCAACATTTTAAATTCAAATAGAGAGAAACACCACCCAAAAATTATTGAAACGTCTCACATAGCTCACGAACCCTACCATAGCTGCAACCTTGACGTGGTGATCGGGCTTGCCTATCGTGATGACCCAACCGAGCTATATTGGCCGGGCATATATGCCTGAAGGTTCCACCATGCCAGACAGGTCGGTTGGAGAACGATGAGACTAAAAGCAGCTACTCAAGGTCTGAGGGCGAAGTTGTACTGCTGACCGCAGAGGGGTGTGACAGCAGTAAGGTGTTTCCCTCGGACAACCAGCATCTGCAGGGATGCTGCCTTCTCACAAGGAAGGGAGGGTTAGAAAAGGTCGGCCCTAAAAATGTCACACCTCCCCTAACTCACGGATTTCCGTCTCCTTGGGTAAGGGTGCCCACTAAGGGCCTTTAAAAGCGGAGCTAATCCTCAAAAAACGTTTCACAAAAAGGCCGTGCGTGACCGGCCTCAAGCAGTAGTCCCTTGGGCTCTGCGGTCACGCACCAACACTAATCCATCTTTCTTTTCAGGTCCCTCAAGAAACAACCTTCCACGGTGTGGGCAGTCAGCAAGTGACAACCGCCCTCATACCCGTAACAGCATACGAGACCAAATTGGTCGAAATCAAATCCTTCCTACACCCCCTAGTACCTCTCTTCTCTCCACAACTAACTCTACTCACATTCCCTTATCTGACTGCACCGCTAATGCAAACGATGCGAGTTCACGATGCGTCATTCCTGGTCTCTTGAAACCTCGTTCTAGTCCACATGTTGGAGCATTTAATGTACAGACGTTGTGTCAACTAGGGCAACAAGCTTCCTTAGGTAAACCTTTAGAGTCTCGCTCAGTCGATGTATGCTACGTCTCCGAAACGCGCATACAGGATCCTAGTAAAACCAGTAATTTGATTTCACCTTGTCAAATTAAAGAAGCGACTCGATTAACTCTTCGTGCATCTGGAAGCCCTGATGCTGCTTCGCGAGGTCTTGCTGGTGTAGGTATAGCATTGAGTCCTAGAGCAGAACTAGCTCTCCTTGACTGGATCCCAGTAGATAGTCAATACTGCGCTGTCCGAATTCAGATCATGCCATAGTGCGAGCGCGTATTAGTTTGCGTCTTAAGGGACTTGAGAAAGACGCAGCAAGAAACCTCTTAGGATCCTAATTACTGATAACAGAGTTAAGAATATATCTCAGGAGCAACTAGAAAAACACTTGCCACCATGTAAGTGATTCCCATCCGGAGGCAGCTTGGAACGATATCCAAAAAGCAGTGGAACCAGCAGTGATATCTGCTAGTAAGGAAAATTATTGGGCCAGGGAGAAGCCGTGGATCTCAGTAG